CTGACCAGATTGCAGTTAAGAAAACCTTGAGACGTACGTTTCTTGACAAAAAAAGTAGTCATCGCAATAGAATTAACTCTTATACAAATCCTTGCCACAATTGGATTTTTTTTCTCCAATGGCTCAACGTCAGAAGAACGATAATGCGTGACTGCTTTAAGAACGAATTATCCAAAGAAACTGGGAAGGACTGCGAGGAGCCAAATTGTCCTTGGGACCAATATGCTGCTCGTAATTAACCAATAGAAAAGAAATGCCTCATACATCCATGGCTATACATCGATTGACGAAACTTCCATTACCGTATCTCAATTACACACATCTCAATGGATAGAAAGGAAGCTCCAGTGTTCAATAATGCGAAAATTGTTAAAAAGGGTTGAGGACAAAAAGGTATAGTATATGAATGTTTCATTAGGAATGCCCATAAAAAACTGCTGGAACGGCAACGAAGATTTGGTTTGAAAGGGAGCATTGTTCCGTGGCAAATGCCCCTCCCTCAGGGCCCATCATGACCCATCATCGGTCTGATCGGCCCTGGCGCGGCAGATAATATCCATTGAAATCCGCGCAGCATCATTTTGGAAATTACCGCTTGCTCCTAATTAAATTTGGGAGGAACTATCTCCACCAAGCCCCGGAAACAATGTCGAAATCATCTCAGGGAAACATAGTGCTCTTGAGGAGGGGACTTCTTGATGCTGGACCTGAATGGGAGAGATAATTCCGCATTATGCTGGACTGGAATCGAATTTGGCGCGATGGCAATGGGATTAGCGATCAGCCCATTGCCGACGACTGACAATAGAATCCAGCCATCACGGCATTGTTGGAGAGGCAATTCTTTGGAGTTGATACCCAACCATTTTAATGAAATATAATTGAGTGGGGGAATTTCACAATGGATTGGATACAAAATTGCGAGAGTTTCTAATCACTCGGACAATGCTACAATGAATGTAATTTGCCATTGAATGTGGCAATGCAGTCTACTTTACAAATCAAGTACTTTGCTTCCTTTCAGCTGGAGATGGGGTATTCCATCATCAATATTTTCATTTTTTATATTCTAATATCCTTCTAACTTTTCAAATGTAAACTGTTGTGATGTCGTTAGGATGATTTGGAAATAGGCTTATTTGTGAATTGTAAGAGCTCTCGTGTCATGGAAAATATTGATTTCTTTCCACACACTGAAACAAGTACATGTACATAATAATTCTCAATCGTTTCTGCTGGTGAATAAGCATATTTGTTACGCTAAAAACAACATGAAATGGTTTGGACCCCACAATCTGCTGTTCAGGGTTGCGATTCACATGTGCATGCTCTTGGATAAGCCAAAAGAAACTCGTGTCGGGAGAGTCAAAGAGAGACAGTCTCACACAGCCAAAGGTTTCAAAGCGTCGTTAATTGCCAGAAGCCAAAGCACAGTTTTCCCCCACGAAGGGGCTTTTGGTTAATATGGCCCGACTTGTCTGCTGCCCTCATGTGACATGAACCTGTTTCTTTTACCTCGTTTCATATAAGCTCACCATCGAACATAAACGCATGCCCAAATTTATTTGGTAATAAGTGAATGCAATTATGTATGTAAAATGCGTGTCGAATTAGAATTTTCCAAAAGCATAGGATACTCAGTAGCCGTATTACGGGATTCGATGTTCGGTTTGTTCGGTCTCTGCATGTTCAGACTTCAGTGGTAATAACAGATTCTCTACAACAATAACTATGCAGCGTACACAATTCATAGGCTACAGCGAAAAGATTCAACACTAAAGAGGCGTCGAAAGAGGTCCCTATTATCTGCCTATGGCGCCACCACACGTCGTGAATATTTAGGGTTATGTGATGATATTATTTATTCTGGTTTTTTGGCTTCTCTTGACCATTCTGATGTTTGTGATGTCGGCTCTATTTTCCTCGTCAGTGCTGTGTTAAATTTGGAAACCCTCGATGTTAGTATTTCTAATGATTCTTCCTCGTAGTACTGTAACTATGAGTAATCCAGAGGGCGCTGTTCAATCAACTCTAACCGTAACATTCGTAAGAAATGAAGGTAAGAGGGCGCTATTGCATAGGCCTGGTCAGAGCTGCGACAAAAAGCCTCCATGGACAAAATAATCTGATCGAGTAAAAGCTTGGTTGTGTTCGGGTCTTTAAGTCCTAACAAACTTATGCAATCGTGTCGCTTTTTTTCATTAATTCAGTTTTCTATGTGATGGAACGGTTTGGCGCCATTTTCGCTATAGTGATAAGATGTCAGTTCTGTTTTTAATAGTAAATATAGTTGTAAAACGTTGCCTGTGGCCAAGAATGACCAACAAGATGGCGCAGTGGCGTTTTCGTGGGGATTTTTTTTCTCAAGGATCAGAAACAAAATGAAATTATATGTTTCATTTTCAACTAACATGGATAAAACTTTGTGATGGTTTCAGGTAAAACAAATTTAGAGACCCGTTTCTGTCTAATGCCAATTACATGAACATTGTACTCATACACATTTTTGTACTTTGTTTAAAACACGTTTCATTTCAAGGTTCATGTAAATATATCTTTAAAACTTACCTAATAGATTATTATATAGGGATTGGTTAGTCGAATAATGTTTTTCGGCCTCAGTTCAAATTATGAACTAGGACTCAAACCACGAGTACAGTCATGCTCTCGTGACCGCATGCCCTCAATCCATCTCACTGCCAACCAATCTAAATGAAGCCTGCCCTCTGCAGGCCAGCATAGATATTATGTCCCTTTTTTAAGGGTGAGGGCGCCCTTGACAAATAATGAGGGCTGGATGAAAAATGGCAATATAAAAAAATGTTTCCTTTCAGGGAAAGAGGGTACTTTCACATTAAGTGATTGCGGTTGAGGGCGAAAATGGTTTTACAAAAAAGAGTAAAAGATCAAATCATTCAGGAATACTGCGCTCACTTTTCGTCTGATCGTTTATTTGGACAAATTCTGTTCTGCCCCTGGCGACAGTCTCCATAGCAACAGCCACAGAGTCAACCACCTCCCTGACAGGTCAGAAAATAATCACCTGACATGGAGTCCTGTATCAATTTGACCAAATCATACTATAAATGGCCGCCTGTTAGATTTGTTGAGGAGGCCAATTTGATTGAAGCAGCTCTTACTAAGTCACAGAGCCCTCTGCAATTGACAGCCCGGCCATTTCTGCAAATCGTTCCAGACAAGTCAACGAGAAAGCATATTAACCGTAAAACGTGTTCCCAATAGCGTCTTGGTATAGACTCATTTCAAGCCTGGCATTTCAGTGGCTCTATCTATTGCTAGGCAATGAGTACTAGAAAGCATTCTCGGGAGGTACAAAATCACCAAAATACAAAACTGCGGATGTCTCTTTTTAAACGACTAAAATGGCATGGTTGAATAGACCCCTTTTTGGGCGAAACCTTGTTAAAAAGTCTTTACAACTCCCATTATAAACAGCCATGAGAGTATCGTAAGCGGTTACGGTAAAGCCATTTTACGGTATCCCGTCGGAACAAGTGCACTCAGTCACAGATAATTGCCGATCATGTCTGCGACGATCAACATGTCTGTAATTTCGAATTTGAACAAAATATCATCTGGTGCAGTCTGAAAGCCTGCACCAAAGCTTACTCATGATTGATTGTTGGGGTCATTTATCCAAACCGTTGTCTCTGATCCTGGGCTGTGTCCCAAATTTCAGCCTAGAATCAAGACTATGTCTTGGGCTGATGACCCGCCACCCAAATCCGTAGTGGCGTGTTCCGTGCCGTTCGTCTCTGCGGGATCTTTTGGCGCGTTAAGTTCCAGGTGAGGAACACGTGTATAGCCCCGGGAAACTGACGGGGTAACAAGAAGCGAGCGACCGCTGCTTCTAAACAGTTGTCCCGCTCGGGATTTTACCGGTCTAATTGGTGCGATTTGTTAGTAAAATTTAAATGCGTTCAAGCTGTGGTTATTTTCCGTCCTACATCAGAATATGGGCCATTTCCTCCTGCATTAACCACAGGCAACACTGAAAGAGTGGTCTTATTGCACTTGCAGTCCAGTGATGTAGTTGGCTTTGTTGACTAAGACACACTTTTTTGTATTTTCACAAATTTACTCACTCCAGAATAACGCTCTACTATTGTGTGTCTGCAGTGTGTCAAAAAGTCTAATAACCGACTTCTGATGTCGTCGATGTAGTAACTGACTCACTTTCTACTTCGATTTCGTTTGTTTTCTGTTGAGTGAGGCCATTGGTAGAGATACTGAGTAACAGTGAACGTGGGATGTCTTGTGTACACGAGGATATTGCATGTTTCTTTTTTTTTTCAACATCAAAGATCGTAACAGAACTTAGCGTGAAACTACTTTTTATTTTGCCTTTGAGCTTTAATTCATTATGATCTGTCGACGGTGATGGTCCGTCAAGCCCGTCACTTGGGGGTGGGGGGCGGACCCCCTTGCAAGCAATTGCCCCACTCACCTCCAGCTCCCTCGGCAACAACCATAAACATCAAAATTCTATGTATTTGCGGGTTTTGTTTTCTTGTGGTGTTCCCCCAAGCTGGTAGTGTGCCCCCCCCCCCCCCCCCCCCCCAATTACCCGGGGCTGGAGACGGGGCTGGGCAGGGTACAACATGTAGGCCTACATGCAACCGCTGCTTGTGAGTGATGAGCGTCATAAAGTGTAACATTGGCTGACCAATCATGTAGCGCTCTCAACGCGTGACGGTGACTGGCCGAACAATATGCTAATTAGTCATGACATCATTACGACGACATCCAAACGTTTCAGGATGACTCCTAAAATGTTGGCTTTTTGTCGTGATTTTGAAACTTTCGTGAATGAATTTTGTGCAAATCATGACGAAATTGTGTACAGATTGTGTTGTATAAGTCTTTGGTTTTAAGAGGATTGCAGTTTTGAAAGCAAAATGAATCATCAACGCACACCGTGAGTGTCAGTGCATATCGGGCTGACCGGCTCCGGATGATTTTTCTCTTCTCCTTCACATTCACTCTAGTTTCTCTACATTTCGTACAAACCTTTCGCCTTTTACTAAAGGTTTCCGTGCAGAGGAACAAATTTAGAGTCTTACGACCAATTTTTCACTGCCCTGTCGAAAGATGGGGCAAATAAAACCAAACAAAAGATATGATATGTGAGACGAAGATTGTGTTTATGTGTATGGCTTACTTATCATAAATGTTCGTCAATGCTTTGAAGTGCGCCCTCAGTTGATGAACAATCTTGTAGTTATGTTCGGATAGTTTGTCAATGCAATGTCATCAATTAATTTGCCAATTGATTGAAAAGATACATATTTTTAAAAATAGCTTTTGTCTTTACGAAATAATGGAAATTAAACATTTTATATTGTCCATCGTCTGATAATTCGAACTCGATTATCAGTACCGATATAAATAAATGTAACTGTTTTTTGTTGCAGACAGGAATACATATTACCTTTAAGTACGACTGTGCACAAGTGGACAAGTGCCAATGTTAATATTGAATCAAGCAGCTGTCGGCCTAATTTCAATGTAATTCATGTCTGGAACCAAACATTTTAACCATACAATTTACACCCCCTCCCTCGGTTTTGTGCAAGATAACCCACTTAAGCCGTCAGCTAAACGACCGTTTCCATTCAAGATGTAGATCATCGATATCAGTTATCGATCAGTTGGAATTTTTACTGCGACACGCCGAGTAGTTAAACGGCAACAATTACCCTACGAACGAACTATGCCTAATTGCCTAATGACCCAGTTTCACATTCAACATTTCTCGTAATCATCTTGCGGTGCAGACGATTGCCCGAGTTGCTTCCACGGAAGCCGGCAGAGAGTGCAGACCAATTGCCCATTACGGGTTGAGAGAGCACACACACGCCATGCATGGGACCCGTAAGCCTGCCCCAGACTGATCCGACGATAATGACCAAAAATCGAGAACAATTACGGCTGTGTAATGGCCGACAAATTTGTTGGCGGGCCCTCTGTAATTCTCGAAATGAAATGCCCCTTTTCTTCTACTAATTGGCGCTACCGACAAGTGACGCCGGTTCTTTGGTATTTATAGATTCTGACGGCGGTTCCCCTTGTTTCCGACTATTGATGTTTCTCCCGCTTTTCATCCCATCGACAGAGGCTTGGTTGCACGGGAACCATATTTCACTCTGGCCGGGTCTTGAGCTGCGTAATGACGGAGGGACTCAGTCGTCACTCCGGTACCCACAAGTCATTGCCAGGAAACGCCGGAGATGGAAGCGGGAGATCATGGAGACTGTTCCTACCTCATTATTGTCCTGTGTGCGCCAACCCTGGTGCATTACCCGAGCAAAAGTGGAGTATTAACCCGCGTGTCTTGCTGAACGAATATTTCAGAAGCTCGTAAAAATGACATTGACAGGAGTCCTGATCCCCTTTTGATGACCGCGCCGCTGTTTGAATGCCCGAGTTTTGACGAGAGCAAATATGGTGAAAATTAAGGGTTTTTTTTCGGATTGTAGGGGTTTACAAGTAGTCTTACATATTGGTTCATTGAATGTACAAGATCCCCAATTGAAGTTACCTTTCTTTGAAGGCATAATGCTATCAGTGCTATGTCTGTATCCCTAATCATTTCGCTGTTGCTGTTGTTGATGTCCTTGTCACTTATGCCGTCGTTGTTAACCTGTCACTTATGTCACCGTCATAACTGCTGTTTACTGTTTACTCTTGACGGCATTTCTCTGACGGTCAGAGCCAATAATTGGTCGCCCTTGCCTTGTTCCTGTGCTGTTTGTGGTATGTGATGGTCAAGAACGTGCCTGCATCCTCAAGTTTACAGGCTGACCACCTCTCCAAGGAGCAAGATGCCTTCGCCGGTCTTGCTTCCATCAAAGTCAAACTGTTTCACCGACACTGAACTTGAGTGTCTCCAAAGTGCCACTCGTCAATAAACTTTTACTTCCCAATTGCAAGGTCAAAAAAAGACTGAGTAAAGTTCTGCAAAGTACCCAGAATTCTTTTTATGAACTAAAGTAAGTTTCGATGACGATAAATAGCTCAGCCGGGGCTATGGAAGTCGGAACGGCTCCAGAGCCAGTTTTGTAGCATAAACGGGGAGTGGGCCAGAAAACGATGAAAAAAAATAAGAGAACAAGTTGTATACACGTTGTCATCGCCCACTAACTGCAATAAAACTGGAGCGTTACCAGGCCCACGGTGGAGGGTCTGACCGATAAATCAGGCGTAAATTAGGCATGGTTGTCCCGGTAGCTACGCCGTTAATGTCCTCCAACACAGGGTCTGGGGACATCTAGGGTCATTGCCTGATGATGGTTTGAGACAGCGCCAACAGGCTTGGAATTCCTTGTTTTTATTTGACAATTTAAGTTTAAGTTTATCTTAGAAAGGGAACCCCTGCAAAAATGACGGAGTCCGTATTTGTGTGTTTTGTTTACATAATGACCTAGTATTTTTATTTTAGATATAACTTGATTGAGACATTCTCTTTTACTCTTTAATAATCTTTTACTGAAACAAAATGCGTATCTGTGAGCAGTAAAACGCCAATCACAGAAAAAGAGCAGTTCAACTTTACTTGAAGTCTGACTGGATAGAAACATAAACATCACTATTCTATTTTCCTTAATGTTGGGACAATTGCTCTTATTCATCACCTCAGTTTCCATAGCAACAGAGCAAACTGCTGCATTATCTAACGACACACACTGAACGACGTTGTGCCTCAAAACGGACGTCCCGTGTCACTCGAGATAATCGCGCTGACACAATCGCTCCTTGTATGTTGGAAATTGAAAATAGTACGTGAATCATCAGGTTTCTTAAGGAGGGAGGAGTCCATCTTAAAGGGTTGAGGCTGCCAGGCATGTCATGGGTGATGTATTCTACTGGAGACGGGTTTACCAATACGCGAGGAAATCTCTAATTTAGTAATCAACAGAGCGAAACGGTTGATGAGTTTGACTCGGTAGAGAGAGACGGTTGCATGACGGTTGCAGGGGCGCATCCAGGTTTAGATCAATAGGGTGGTTTAGCTCTGTGTGTGTGTGTGGGGGGGGGGGGGGGGGGGGGGGTAGCAGTTAGACCCTCTAACAACACCCCTCGTAGATCCGCCACTGAGTTGGTCCTAAATGCAGGCCAAAGTGGCAACCCTGTGAGAGGATCTGGGCCACGTTTGAATGAAGCACTGAAAGTGTCGGATCACAGATTCTTTTTGCTTATATAAAAAACAAGTTACTTCCCATAATTTCTTGCGATTTATACTGCTGTCGACTGGTTATCAACTCATTTTGCCCTACACTTAGAGGCAGCTCTATGAAAACAAGCTCCTATAGAATAGTCGTAGATGCAAACATTATAGTTTCTTGTTGTGAACACGAAGGTTTCGAGTAAAAATAGGTTTCGAGTAAAAAAAAAAACACATCAAATACACACATGCTATAGTTCGTGTCGGGGTAGGGTTGGCGAGGACATTAAAGTTAGGTCACGAAATAAATTGAGAAGTAAAGATAGAAAGAAATGATAAGAGTTGGAGTCGAAATCAAGGATTAATACATATGGATCACATAAACACGCATGGATGGTGATTAAAGTCAATGGTTAATTTCTAAAGAAGACAAAGGGTTTGTATTAAAAAAAAACCCAGCTTTTCAGAAGTTAATTTTACCCGTATTTCTCCAATCAAAAATGTATTTTTGTTTTCAAAAATCTCACCCGAACAAAGGCAGTCGACAAACAAGATATCCACATCACTATTCGAGAACTTCACATTGACGAATGCCAGAAACTTGGCCATCTCAGGGCCGCAATCTATATACACGCTGCGCTAATTGGCCCCAAGATAGCTATATAAAACACCACCAACCATTATCGCAGGCTTCTGAATCACCATCGTCTCGCATTAATATCATATAAAAAAAAGCCACCAGCTCGAAAATGCATAAGTCCTTACGAGGTTATAAATATCCCGTTATTTTAAGATCAATTTACCCCTCAATTGCATCGTTCACCATCGCAAAAGCTCGAATCCCCTTACACGAGCGTTATCAGATTTCACCAGTTTTTGTCTCGGGATCGTGTTTCGCGCCTGCATTTTTTTTTAAAGTCGCTCTCCTGTTAGTTATTTTCTTTCTCTTTTCCTTCAAGAGGAGGCGGCGGGGAGTCAATTAATTCCGATTGCCCCGCGTTGGTTCAGGCTGAGAAGATTGCATAGACCCTTAGCCAGTCAGATTCGCCGACTGTGAAAACATGTTGTCTGAATGTTTTAAAGGACAATGCCGAGTAAGACCATGAGAGGTGGGGGAACAGACAGGAAAAAACCTGCAAGTGAATATCAATGTCCTCCTGAGCGATGATACCCTGCTTGCTAATAAGTAGGGTCTCCCCGAGGGCTCAGGTACGGCCATATTAACGCAGCTCTCTCCTGACTCGGGGACCCTCCGTGTCTCTACTCCCCCACGCGTGCATGGGAAATTAACCTCTCTTCCTCCTTGCAAATTTTCCCGAGTAAAAACCAGGAAGGAAAACGCAGCCTAGGGCTTGATTCACAGTCTTCAAGATGCTGACTATTTAAGCACTAGCCCCTCAACCGATCCCTGTGGTGTTCGGGTAGAATTTACCCCCGCACGCGCCTACTCAGACCGGCACACCCACCAACTACAAGATGGAAGTTTTCTTAGCCTGTTTGATAATCTCCTCCGATTGGCAAAACATTTGGGTAATTCTATAGGACGCCGTCACCCATCGCTCTAATACCATAATAATATCGCTTTCATGACAGGGGTGTGCCGTCGAGTTTGTGCAACGGTGGCCGCGTGCTGCCACTACAGAAAGCACGGAGTGAATTGCTGGTAATGCCAGATATCGATTACAGGATTTCGCCGGCAACGACATAACCGACATTGTAAGGGGGAAGCGGGTGGCTTTTAAATGGCAAATCGACACCGTGGCTCATGCAGTTCCTGTCGCTGGCGCTAGTGGGCCTTTTCTCTTCACCTCTTAGCCACGTGACCCTTGCCTGTGATTTTTTTTTTCTCCCAGCATGTCCTCACTCCCACTTCACCTGCAGTTAGCTCCTGTTTTGCCACAAGCAACAACGTTGAGTAGACCTAGACGCAGCTAT